ATGACTCTTTGATGAACCCTTAAATCTAAACCTTTGTTTGGTTTTTAAAACTCATCAGGAGAGTTTTTTCCCCCAAAGATCATCTTAATTGAAGAACTGAGTTAAAAGCATACATATGCCCTGTGTCTACAGTTAAAACTGTCCAAACACTATCAGTTGTTTAATGAGGTTGTTCCTAGACCAACAGATACTCTAGTGTTTTGTAGAGGTATGTTGTTTGCAAGGCTTTGTCTTCTGTAACTGCTTGGCCGTAAAAACCTGCCTGTCTAGAAAGGGGGGCCTCTGAGTAGTGTTTGATAATAAGAAATTGCTTTCAGTACTTCTCCACACCATTTTGGCAGAAACGTAGAATCAACAGTCTAGAAATTAAGAGCCACTGTTGTGGTTTGGGGTTTGTTAAATTGTGTAGTTGGAACGAGGACCAAAAAATGTAAATTGGGTAGTATATCATGAGGGATTTGTTTTTCCTACAAACTAGGTGGTTGAGGGTTATGTCTTATTATGAGGAAGAGGTTTTGCTTAATAAGGTAGTATATGAAAATGAATGTCTTTGAGTATCTTCTTAGTTTTTCTTTTATCCTTGGTTCCTTTTTAATTAAACAAGTATTTAATTAACACCAACTACAATCAAGTCACTGTTCTGAGTGTTCTTTGTGCTCATGTTATTTTAATTTTAAATTAATATTTAGGTTTTGGTAATGTGTGTATTGTATAGTAAGATATACAGTGAAAGTAATGCTTCTCTGTATCCCAGCCACCTGGTCCCCTTCAGCTGCCTAATCTTCCTCAAATTCTCTACTAGCTTCTGCATTGTCCCAGAGATAATCCATGCCTATACAAGCATCCATTTGTATGATATTCTCTTGTTTCACACAGGTAGCACCGTGATAGAATTGTAGTGAACTACACGCCCTTGTATTCAAGGTCCGTGTAATTCCTGCCCATATTGACTGTGCTTGGCTGTGTGACTGGTTTTGGCCAATGGGAGTTAACAAGTGTTATGCAAACAGAGGCTTGATAAGAGCTAGCACTTTGAAATGTGTTCTAGAGGAGTGCTTGCCATTGTGACACCCCCTGTCAGTACCCAGAAGCCCCCAGCTGTGAGGTCCCCACCTAGTCATAAAGAGAAGCCACATGGAAGAGAACTGGGTCCCTGCCAACAACCTTAGCTGGGCCCCTAGACAGCAGCAAGCATCCACTTGGCAGCCATGTCATGAATGAACCATCTTCTTGGAAGTGGAACTGCCAACCCCATTCAGGCCACCTCCAGTGGTGCTATGTGGAGAAGAGACAAGCTTTCCCTGCCAAGCCCTGTACGAATTGAAAAATTGTGAGCTGTTGCTAATAAGCTACTAAATTTGGTTTGTCATGTAGCAACAGATAACAAACACATACTATATATATGGTATTTTCTGTGCCTTGCTTTTGTTGCTGAGCAGTATATTAGATATCAGCTTATTTCAGTACATACAGAGCCACATCATTCATTTTAAGAGCTGAATAATATTCCATTTATGGCTGAACAATAATTAGCCTCTTATTGACAGATGTTGATGTTTCTAATCTTTCGCAGCATTTAATATCTCCATGGCATGCTTCCTTTTGCCCATGAACAAATATATTTATTGGGTAAATTCTTAGAAGTAGAGTTGCTGAGTAAAAGAGTACGTAAATTTGTAATTTTAATAGGTATTGCAAATTGCCCTCCAGAGAGGTTACACTCCCACTAGCAATGTAGGAGAACTGTGCACTGCAGCAAATGGTGAGCCACAATGTGGTTGGAGTGTTACATTTCTCTTTAATATTTTCTCATGTATTTTAAAAACCACATGCATTTCCTTTTTGATGAACTGTCTTCTTTTTTGTTTGGATTGTTGACCTTTTGCTTTTTTGGAGGAACTCTGTGTGTATTAAAGAAATTAGCTCTTAATGTATGCTATGTGAAGCAAATCTTTTGTCCCCCAGTTATTTATCTTTTGACTTCATTTGAGTAATGTTTTGTCCTTATTGTATTTAGTTATGTCAAATTTTTTATAGCTTTTGGATATTCTTGGTTTTATTCTGGTTTGTTTGTCATATTTAGGCTTTTCTCAATTTGAGATTATTGTAGATATTCTCCTATGTTTTCTTCTAGTGTTTTTGTTATTTCTTTTTTACATCTTAATCTTTGATCTGCCTGAAATGTCTTTTGACATATAGGTTTCCAGATAGGTGTCTGAGGTGGCTAGTCAGTTGTCTGTTAATATTGTTACACCATGTCATCCTTATTATACAGTCATGTGCCTCATAATGATGTTTTAGTCAATGATGGACTGCACATATGACACTGGTCCCATGATATTACAATGAAACTGAAAAATTCCTATTGCCTAGTGATCTCACAGCTGTTACAATGTCATAGTAATGCATTACTCACGTATTTTTGGTGAGCTGGTGTAAACCAACCTACTGTACTGCCAGTCATATAAAAATAGAGCACATACAATTCTGTACAGTACATAGTACTTGATAATGATAATAAATGTGTTACTGGTTTATGTATTTACTCTACTCTTCATTGTTATTTTAGAGTGTACTCCTTCTACTTATAAAAAGAAAAAGTTAACTGTAAAATAGCCTTAGGCAGGTCCTGGGAGGTATCCAGAAGAAGGTGTTGTTATTATAGGAGATGACAGCCCCATGCCTGTTATCGCCCCGAACACCTTCCGGGGGAGAAGATGTAGAGATGGAAGACAGTTATATTGATGATCCCGACCATGTGTAGGCCGAGGCTAATGTATGTGTTTGTGTCTTAGTTTTCAACGAAAGGGCTTAGTTTAAAAATAAAAAATTTTAAAACTTATAGGATAAGTATATAAAGAAAGAAAATTTTATACAGCTGTCCAGTGTGTTTGTGCTTTAAGCTAAGTGTTATTACAGAGTCGAAAGTAAAAAAAAAAAAAAAAATTAAACGTTCATGAAGTAAAGTTACAGCAAGCCAAGATTAATTAATAAATTATTATTATTTTTTCAGAGACAGGGTCTTGTTTTGTCTCCCAGGCTAGAGTATAGTGGTGCAGTCATAGCTCACTGTAACCTTGAACTCCTGGGCTCAAGCAGTCCTCCTGCCTCGGCCTCCCAAAGCATTGAGATTACGATGAGCCACTGTGTCTGGCTATGTTAATTTATTGCTGAAGAAAGAAAAATATTTTTTATAAATTTAGTGAGCCTAAGTATACAGTGTTTATAAAATCGACAATAGTGCAGTGTCCTAAATCTTCACATCTACTTACCACTCATTCACTGACTCACTCAGAGCAACTTCCAGTCCTGCAAGCTCCATTCATGATAAGTGCCCTGTACAGGTGCACCATTTTTAAAATCTTTTATATTGTGTTTTTACTGTACCTTTTCTATGTTCAGCTATGTTTAGATACACAAGTACTTACCATTGTGTTACGATTGCATACAGTATTCAGTACAGTAACATGCTGTATAAATGTGTGGCCTAGGAGCAACAGGCTATCCCATACAGCTCAGGTGTGTGTAGTAGGCTACATCATCTAGGTGTAAGTGACTCCATGATGGTCACACAAGGATGAAGTCACAAGGATGACTCATTTCTCAGAATGTATCACCATCCTTAAACAACATTGTTAAACATTCACGTATTTACTGAATTCAGCAATATCTTTTAAACTGCTGTCCCCCAAATTACTTAATTATTCCTCTTTTCTCTTAGGAAATGCTACAGTGAATATTTACAATTCCATGTAATTATTAATCCCAAACCTTTGTGGATATAGAAATCAACATTTATATAGTCTGCATTTTAGAAGTTATTTAAACATTTGTGTTGTTAAGCTGCTCAAAAGCCAGTTGGCAAGGTCTGCATTTTATGCACAGGAAAAAGGAGATCATTCCATGTAAAGGAGATTCACCTGAAGACAAGCAGGATTGTGTACAAATAGGGAGAAATGTGCTTTTTTGTGATGTGTCATATATAAAGGTCTGTTTCCAAATTTCTGAAGCACATAGAAGTTCTGGTGTAAAAAGTATATCTAGTTAAGACAGCTGTAGGCTGGAAGCCTGTGAAAGGAAGATTTTGCTTGTTAATAGAATGACTGAGACTACATCATCCCGTGTAGAAACCAGGAAATAACACTTGTACTGTGTTGTGTTAAGAAAACAGGTTCTTTAATTAAGTGATGCACCTGAAATTTCAGGTAATGGCTACAGCTCTCCTGAACACCCAGGAGGACGGTGACACCGAGTCACAGGCAGAACTATGAAGTTCCTCGTGAAACTCAACTTCCTGTTCTTCCAGCCTTTCCCCTCCTGCCCCTCGGCTCAGCCACAGGTGCTCATTAAACCTCGTCCAGGGAGCATACCTCTAAAGCTTTTTCACAGGCTTGTGGCCCACCTTTGGATTCCGACCGTGTGGGCCTGGAAAGTCTGCATTTGGAGCGTATACCTGAAGGGTGTTAAGCACATTTAACCTCTGCTATGATAATCAGACAGACACCCCTAGAAAGAGATATAGAAGTAAGGTGTTGCCTCTTCTGGGGTTTGTATTTCCTCAGGACCCCCAAAGTTTGAGTTGAAGGGACTAAGTTCTGTGGGGAGGTATCAGCCAGAGGTGGGGACCTCTTTGGGGATACCTGTGCCTTCCCACTGTGAGCCGCTGTGCCCTCTGCCTCTGCTGCAGGCTGGCCGTGCTGCGTTCCATGTGTAAAACCGTGTCATGCTTTCCTTCTTTCCCTCAGAATCCTCCACGTCTGTTGTGTGAGAATGACATTTCACTAAGGAGGACAGACAGTTAGCTTCTGTCAGAGAAGAATGTCAGAGCCCTTCATTTTATAGATGATGCCTTTAGCTTGCTTTCTGTGTATTTTATGTTCTTCTGCCCTTGGGATGTTTTGACACCAGTGGCATTGTTTTCCATTTTCTCAGTGCCGGAGAAGCTGGGATGTTGTAGAAAATATTTAAAGGATAAAAAATGTTATTTCTTTTCGTTTTAGATCTTATCGAAGCTTTCTTTGCCTACCCGTGCCTGGGGACCAGCAATGAAGAAGAGTTTTGCTTTTGACAATGTTGGCTACGAAGGTGGTCTGGATGGCCTGGGCCCTTCTTCTCAGGTGGACACCAGCACAATCAGGATCTTGGGCATGACTTGCCAGTCATGTGTGAAGTCCATTGAGGACAGAATTTCCAGTTTGAAAGGCATTGTGAGCATGAAGGTTTCCTTGGAACAAGGCAGTGCCACTGTGAAATATGTGCCATCAGTTGTGAGCCTGCAACAGGTTTGCCATCAAATTGGGGACATGGGCTTCAAGGCCAGCATTGCAGAAGGAAAGGCAGCCTCCTGGCCCTCAAGGTCCTTGCCTGCCCAGGAGGCTGTGGTCAAGCTCCGGGTGGAGGGCATGACCTGCCAGTCCTGTGTCGGCTCCATTGAAGGCAAGGTCCGGAAACTGCAAGGAGTAGTGAGAGTCAAAGTCTCACTCAGCAACCAAGAGGCTGTCATCACTTATCAGCCTTATCTCATTCAGCCTGAAGACCTCAGGGACCATGTAAATGACATGGGATTTGAAGCTGCCATCAAGAACAAAGTGGCTCCCTTAAGCCTGGGACCAATTGATATTGAGCGGTTAGAAAGCACTAACCCAAAGAGACCTTTATCTTCTGCTAACCAGAATTTTAATAATTCTGAGACCTTGGGACACCAAGGAAGGAATGTGGTCACCCTCCAACTGAGAATAGATGGAATGCACTGTAAGTCTTGCGTCTTGAATATTGAAGAAAATATTGGCCAACTCCTAGGGGTTCAAAGTATTCAAGTGTCCTTGGAGAACAAAACTGCCCAAGTACAGTATGACCCTTCTCGTACCAGCCCAGTGGCTCTGCAGACGGCTATCGAGGCACTTCCACCTGGGAACTTTAAAGTTTCTCTTCCTGATGGAGCCGAAGGGAGTGGGACAGATCACAGGTCTTCCAGTTCTCATTCCCCTGGCTCCTCCCCAAGAAACCAGGTACAGAGCACATGCAGTACCACTCTGATTGCCATTGCCAGCATGACCTGTGCATCCTGTGTCCATACCATTGAAGGCATGATCTCCCAACTGGAAGGGGTGCAGCAAATATCGGTGTCTTTGGCCGAAGGGATTGGAACAGTTCTTTATAATCCCTCTGTAATTAGCCCAGAAGAACTCAGAGCTGCTATAGAAGACATGGGATTTGAGGCTTCAGTCGTTTCTGGTACGTAGTTGATGTGTGTTTGAGGTATATCCTGAGCTTGTCTCCTTTTCTCTTTGTGTGTAATAGCTCCTGGATGGTGGCGTAGGTGAGCCCTGCTCCCCGCCTCGCATGTCAGCAGTTGAACAAAATCCTGCAAACTTTCCTTGCATGTTAAATTTGTTAAGATAGAGGAAATACAATCTCCAAGCATCTAGATTTTGCTTTTCATATAGTTGGGATTTTGTATTAGTCTGTTTTGTGTTGCTTATAACAGAATGGCTGAATTTGGGTAATTTATAAAGATACTGAATTTATTTCTTATAGTTACTGAGAAGTCTAAGGTTGAGGGCCACATCTGGTGAGAGCCTGCTGCCAGTGGGGACGCTGGTGTCACAGGGTATCACATGGCAGAGCTGCTGAGCATGCTCACATGGTTGCTCAGGTGGCTCTTCTTCTTTTTAGAAAGCCTCGATGCCACTCTTCTGATAACCCATTAATCCATGAGTGGATTAGTCCATTCATGAGGGTAGAACCCTCATGATCCGGTCACCTCCTAAAGCCCTCACCTTTTAACACTGCCACGTTGAGGATTATGTTTCCAGTATATGAAATTTGGGGGACACATTCAAACTATGACTGACTGGAATGCTAAACTCCTTGGATTTGAGCTTCTTTCCTAGAGAGAATTCTGATTCTATATCCTGAAATAGAACACTATGGGACCATCCAGGCCCTTTTCTTACCAAGATAACTATTATCACCTTCCCAAAATATTTTATTGCTAGACAACAGAACCTTAGTGTCATAACCTAGAGGCTATGCTGGTAAAAATGAGAGTTAAGGAAAGGATTTATCAATGATGTTTCTCTCCCCATTTGATGAATATAAGAGAAGAAGTAAAGATGAGGGAGCCATCAGGCTTTTTTATTTTTTAATTAAAAATTAAAAAAAAATTTTTTTAGAGACACAGTCTTGCCCTGTTGTCCAGGATGGAGGATAGTGACATGATCATAGGTCACCACAGCCTTGAACCACTGGGCTCAGGCCATCCTCGCACCTCAGCCTCCTGAGTAGCTGGGACTACAGGTGTGCACCACCACACCTGGTTCATTTTTTTATTTTTATGTTTTTGTAGAGACGCGGTATTGCTACGTTCCCCAGGCTGGTCTTGAACGCCTAGCCTCTAGCAGTCCTCCTGCCTCAGCCTCCCAAAGTGCTGGGATTCCAGGCATGAGCCACTATGCTCAGCCACCGTCATGGGTTTTAATCAGAGGAAGCACGAAGTCAGATTATATTTTAGAAGACCAGTGTGGTGTCACGGTACAGTGTCCGTTGAGGCAGTGAGACCACATAGGAGGACAGGTGAGAAAGAGGTGGGTTTGAAAGACATTCAGGAGGGCAGCTCCACCAGGCTTGGCGTCACCAAGAGGGGTGTGTAATGGGGAGGGCCATGGAGGAAAGGGGTAACTGGGATGAGCCCCTAGCTGAGATGCTGGAGGACAGTGGAATAGAAGGGCCTTGAATTTGGAGGGAGAGTGTCAGGCTGGAAATGCAGAATTGAGTGTGGGAAGATGACAGAGACCTAGGAAGAGTGACTGTGGGATGGGAAAGAAGCAGAGGGAGGGGGAGGGGTCTCCTAGTCACCCTGGACATAATGCAAGCTGCAGAGGCCAAAGTCTGAGTCGTATCTTCCCGGGTTAACTAGGGGAGGCCGTTGGAGACCTCGGCAGCTGCTTCAGGACCCTGGGAAGGTGGGAGCCCAGCCTGGCTGGTGGTAAGGGTGGAGACCACTAGTAGCTTAAATTAGGGATAAAGAGGGTGATAGGTGAGTGGAGATGGTTGAGAGAAATGCTGAAGGTAAGGAGGGAAGGGGCACATGTTGTGAGGGGCAGCTTGTGGGTGGTGTATTGTAACCGATTAGGTCCCAGACATGGGCCCTGCACGTGCGTGTCTTGTGGACTGGACCAGTACATGGCTGGCTTCCTCGGCCTTTTGCCTGGAGCTCGGTACTGTAGGGAGCAGCGGGCCCAGCACTAGAAAGAGCTGCCTTTGACGGCACAGGCAAGCCCACCAGCAGCTCAGTGCTCAGGGATGGCTGGACTTTGGTTTCCCACATCGTTTCTTGTGGTCACTGAGATAAAGTTTGTTCCTTGAAAAGTTCACTCAGCTGTGAGTGTTTTCTGCCTCCCCTCTGTGCCCACAGCACACACCCACTGCTGAAGGGAGCGGGCATTCGTGTGAAGTGGCCTGGCCCTGTGTTGTGCTTTGTCTTTTGTACCAAGTTTCAGGAAGGAGTTTCTTTAAAACAAAAATCAATAAGGAAAACACAGTAGAACAGTAAATCCTGTACACAAAAGGTGAGAAATATAGTATAAGGTAAACATCTGCCTGTTTTTGTGTGATGTTTAAAGTCTTTCAACCGTGCAATCAGGTAAAAAGAAGTTAGCATGAAGTGGTAAAAACAAATTAGCGTTAAGCTACATATTACAGAATAACTGGATTTGATTAAATAAACCTAGAAAGAAAAGAATAGTGATTTTTTTTTTTGATTGGGCAGGATTATGAGAATTATGTTCAGCCCAAGAGGTGTTTAGGGTATCAGACTTAGCAAATAAAAATATAGGACATCTACTTAAATTTTAATTTTTCATAAACAATGAATGATGTTTTAGTATAAACATGTCCCGCTCAATATTCATGACATATGTATAGTAAAAATTATTTATTGTTTGTCTGAAAATCAAATTTAACTGGATGTCTTGTATTTTACCTGGCAACTTTAATTTAGAATAAACCATTAGTGTGCCAGTTTGTATTTGAAGAGCCGTTCTCGATTGATTAGGAGCTCCTTGAGGACAGCCTTGCGGTCAGCGTGATTTGTTTCTCCTTGGACTCAATAGCACCCCGCATGCAGTAGGTATTCCTGAAGGAAATGAAAGTTAAGGTGAAGTTACAGGGTAGCTCAGTGGAGGGATTTAATACAGAGAACTATTTACAAAGGTGTTAGAGAGCTGGAAATCCAAATACGCAATGGGAAGAACCCCACAGATTAACAACAGCAGGAAGCCCCCTCCTCCATGGTGGCTGAGGAACAAGGTAGTTACTGGAGCCCAGGGGCTGAGGCTGCTTGGTGGGAGCCAGGACCATGAACCCTCACCAAGAGCCCTGAAACCTCTTGTTCTGAAAAACATATTATTTGTTCTTCTGATTTGAATATTTTCTGACATTTTATCCTAGAAAACTGTTCTACTAGCCCTCTTGGAAACCACAGTGCTGGGAATTCTATGGTGCAAACTACAGGTGGTACACCTACATCTGTGCAGGAAGTGGCTCTCCATGCTGGGAGTCTCCCTACAAACCATCTCCCGGACATCTGGGCAAAGTCCCCACAATCAACCAGAGCAGTGGCACCGCAGAAGTGCTTCTTACAGATCAAAGGCATGACCTGTGCGTCCTGTGTGTCCAACATAGAAAGGAATCTGCAGAAGGAAGCTGGTAAGAGGTGAACGCCCATCTTGAACTTAGGAATGCTGCTTGTAGACTTCATATTCTCCCTTCAGAATATCCAGCAACTGTGTTTATCAGTAGCCCTGATAACCAGGTAGCAAGTTCATTATATAGCATAGATGTTTGTCTAGTGTCCTTGTATAACTGGCAGTCTGTTCTTTAGGAAGTATTTAGTTTGAGATAAAATATATCTCTGAGTAAGTTAGCCATTGAAAATCCAGTTTAAAGGTCATAGTACCTTCTATGGATAGACTTCTCAATTAGATTGTGCTAGTATTATTCCATATTTTGTTCCCTCCCATCCCATCAACCCCTTACTATAAAATGAATAAATAACCTGCATTTTGTATAGAAGTTCCAATTTCAAATATTCTTTCTTGTTGTTCCTGTAAACCAGAGAGTGTTTGCAGAAACAACAGGACAGAAATGTGTGGAAATGTCAAAGTTTTGTCCTCCAGAATGCATTTCCAATACTTTTAAACTTGAAAGTACAACAAAATTCTGTCCCATTTGTTTGGAAAATTTAACCATGACTCGACTCTACCTTGCCACCAGAATCACTTTCTCTTTTCTTACCCAGTGATGTGTCTTTTTACTTGAACTCCCTGGCCCTTAGAATCAACCCTGAGTTCAGATGACATGTTTTTCCAGCCTCTTGTTCACTATGCATTATAGCTTCCTGCAGCTCTAGAGTGACTGTTAGCAGATAGAGGTGTTAATAGGAGATCATTTGTTATCCATGGTCTGACTGCTCATAAAATTAGCCTATAATCTCCTGTAGCCTATGTTTCTGTTCCTGACTTGAATCCTCATTTTTATCCCGTGTGGCATCCTTTCTGAAGCACTTCATTCCTTTCATTTATTTGCATGAGGCTTTTTTCCCCATGTTAAACTAACACAATAGTGTTAGCAAGATTGTGGGATTTCTTTTTCATACCTGAAAGTCATTAGAAACTATAAAATAATAAGGAAAACCACTTTTGAAAATTCTTTATTTTTTCCTTGTATGAAAGTGTCTGGAGGAAAAAAAAAAAAGATATCCTTTCTGTAACAGCAGTCAATAACTGCAGACCACACTACTTACTCCATTGGTGTCTTCTAAAGCCTGAGTGAGAATGTGTCCATATGCTGGCAGCATGAGCATCACCTCGGGGCTGGATGGACCTGCAGAACTCAAACCTCCTCCTAGACCGACTAGTCAGAAGCTCTATTTTAACAGGGTCCTCGGGTGATTCATATGTCCATTAAAGTTTGAGAAGCATTGTTCTTCTAGAATAGTGGCTGTCAAACTTCCCTGTACATTAGGATCACCTGGGGAACTTTTCTTAAAAAAGTGATGCCTTGGGAGGCTGAGGCGGGCAGAACATGAGGTCAGGAGTTCAAGACCAGCCTGACCAACATGGTGAAACCCCATCTCTACTAAAAATACAAAAATTAGCCTGGCATGGTGGCACATGCCTGTAATCCCAACTACTCAGAAGGCTGAGGCAGGAGAATCGCTTGAACCCTGGAGGTAGAGGTTGCAGTGAACTGAGATCATGCCACTGCACTCCAGCCTGGGTGACAGAATGAGACTCCATCTCAAAAAAAAAAAAAGAAAGAAAGAAAGATGCCTGCCACCTACCCTGAGAGACTCTGATTAGGTTGGTCTGGGTTAGAGACCAGACATCGTGATTGTTAAAGGCTCTCCAAGCAATCCTCATGTGCAGCTGTGTTTGAAAACTGCTGTTCTAGAGGATTCTGGGAAGATGTGTTTCTTTGTTCAGTTATGTTAACTGTGTCACCCTGGAGGTCCTGCCTACCCAGAGTGTTACAGCCGTGACCTGATGGTTCCAGGTGTTCTCTCCGTGTTGGTTGCCTTGATGGCAGGAAAGGCAGAGGTCAAATATGACCCAGAGGTCATTCAGCCGCTCGAGATAGCTCAGTTGATCCAGGACCTGGGCTTTGAGGCAGCAGTCATGGAGGACTCCGCAGGCTCCGATGGCAACATTGAGCTGACAGTAAGTACGGTGGGTGCGTTTCGGGATTACAGGCTTCTTCTGACAATTTGCATTTTGGACAGCATCCATCTTTGTGATTAGTAAATTTCCCCATCTTGGACATGTCTGGTTTGTTGTTGTTGGGTATTTTGTTTCACCTTCCTTTGAAGCCGACAACAATGACTTGTTCATTTTGAGAAAGGTCAGTTACGTTAAAGAGTCATGGGGAGGATCCCACTGAGAGTATTCGGGGTGTTAGGAGGAAGAGATGATGAGCTGCAGGAGTATAGAAGAAAGAGGAATTAAAGACGGTGGACTGCCCTGAGCTGGGTGGTTAGGGGGAGTTGAACATGAACACAGTCCTTCAAGCCTAAAAAGAAACTAGCATGCCTGCAACTATCTCAAGGCAGTAGAGGGAAGTCCATGTGGTAGCAAGTGCTGTTCCAAGAGAAAAGGACTTATGATAGGTGCATGGGTGTCTAGAGGGCCACGGTGCTCCACAACACTCAGTCTGAGGGGAATGTTCCAGGTGGTGATTGTTGCCAGTGTTTTGGGTGGGGAGGTATTGTTTCCCATCTGTCTACATGCCAACACATTATCGGAAACAATGGGTGTATCTGATACATAGAACATTCTATGTTTGAAAGCACTTCTGTACTTTTGTATAGCTCTTTTTGTGTAAGCAGAGGGAGACTTAGAATAACTCACAGAGAATTGAACGATGCTGCTTTACCCATGTCATCAGAGTTTTTCTACTTCCTTTGTGTGTTTTGTCAGTAATTAGTGGTAACTGGATGTTTGAGGGGAAAGCATTGAGGACACAGAGGCCCGTGAGCTCCTGAGCAGCCGTGTTCTTTGTGGAGCAAACCCTTTGCTCTGGTAGGGCCTCTCTGTGTCTGGAGGGCACAGCTAATACTTGCTACGTCACAGCTTTGGTCAGCCCCACAAGAGGTGCCCAACAAGAGGGGCAGGGTCTCTGCTGCAAACCTCGGGATCTGCCTGGGGACATCTCTGCCTGCTCAGACTTCTATGTGGAAAATCTAAAGCAAGAGGATTATTGGAAAAGGTGTACATTTCTTTTTTTTTTTTTTTTTTTGAGATGAAGTCTGGCTCTGTCGCCCAGGCTGGAGTGCAGTGGCCGGATCTCAGCTCACTGCAAGCTCCGCCTCCCGGGTTTACGCCATTCTCCTGCCTCAGCCTCCCGAGTAGCTGGGACTACAGGCGCCCGCCACCTCGCCCGGCTAGGTTTTTTTTTTGTATTTTTTAGTAGAGACGGGGTTTCACCGTGTTCGCCAGGATGGTCTCGATCTCCTGACCTCGTGATCCGCCCATCTCGGCCTCCCAAAGTGCTGGGATTACAGGCTTGAGCCACCGTGCCCGGCCGTAAGGTGTACGTTTCTTTTAAACAGTTTTTTTTTTTTATTGTAATGTTCTTTTTAAAAAAAAAACCATGCTGTATTAATAGTTACATTGTCATCACATATTCAGATTTTATGTGAACTTCTGTATTTAACTGGTCTTCTAGGAAATGCTGACCACTGATCCTCAGAAGAGTGAATTGTCTTATTTACTTCATATTTGCCTAATATATATCCCAGGAATAGCACGTCACACTTAAGACTTCTGTTTCCCATGTCAGGACGCACAGCATGGTATGGCACAAGCAGTGTAGGCTTTAAAAACTGGGTTTGAGTTTTGGCCCTGTCGCTGCAGGGATACTTCTGAACCTGGTCTGAGAAGACTCGCCTCATGCTGCAGATGGCAGTGGCTCAGAGCAGATTCTGGAGCCAGCCCATCTGGGGACGTGCTTCAGCTCTACCCGTCACTGGTTGTGCGACTTTGGACAAGTTCCTAAACCTCTCAGTACTGCGGTTTTGAGACCTACCTCTTAGGTTTGGTGTGAGCAGCACAAGGCCTAGGACAGCACCAGTCACTTTGCAAGTGCACAATAAATGCTACTTATTATTACTGTTGTTATAAAAACAAGCAGAGAGCAGAGAAGTACCATAGAAATATTTGGAGACTTGATTTTTAAAATTCTGTTGGCAGTCACCTGCCAACAGGTAAACTCCTAAGTTTGCCTGGTGGCCCTTGCATTCCCATTTTTACCTTGGGTCTTGGGCCAAGTTGAATGCATTCTGATTACAGATGAGCTCCCCTCTTCCTCCTCCCTAATTCCGGATGGGACCCTTGGCTCTTTATTCTGGGATCACCGATGTGAATTTCAGCATGCAGCTCCAATCACATCATTCCATTGCTCATTACCCCTCAGTGACTTCACATCAGGTGCTAGCTTAGCAACACTTCAGCTGGCTGCTCAAAAGCCTTCAGGCTGTGGACCCAGCCAGCCCCGCAGCCTTCCTTCCTCTCCCTTGGGCATCCTGTGCCCAGATAAGCCTGGCTTTTGATGTTTGCCTGAACACCTCATGCTATCCTGCCTTTTGTCTTTTTTGAGCTTCTCCTTCTGGTAGCATCCTTCCCTTCACCTGTCAACACCCTGTTTGTACCTTGGGACCACCTTTGATTACATCTCCTGCATCAGCCACTTTTCTCCTATTAATAAGAGGTATTAACATCATCACCCTTGGAAGGAGCAGAGCTCTAAAATAGGGAGGATGCTAGCAGTAGCTGCAGACCGCATGCCAGCAACACTTGGGATTACCGAGAGTATTTCAGGAGTGCAGCGAGTTTCACAGAAGTTCACTTCCCCATACAGGCATTAGTATCCCGGCTTTGCAGTGAGGTAACAGACAGTGGAGAGGGGCTTATAAAAACCCATCCGTATCAGAGCCGGAAGTCAAGCCTTGGTCTGTTGCCATCTGCTTCGTGATTGGCTGTCTTCTGTACCTGTTTTGGGAAAGAGCTACTGTTTAGTCCCTGAAGCCGCTGGAGGAACGTTGAGAATCTCACACGTGGGGTTTGGAGGTGTAGTCCAGGGTCTCGAGAGCAGTGCTGAGGAGGGAAAGGCTCATGGCTGCCTGTTACCCAGACTCCCCAGACTGTCTTTCACAGGCCACCTTGATCCTGGGTCTGTGGGATTCTTGCCATCCTTTGTTGCAGATCACAGGGATGACCTGCGCGTCCTGTGTCCACAACATAGAGTCCAAACTCACGAGGACGAATGGCATCACTTATGCCTCCGTTGCCCTTGCCACCAGCAAAGCCCTTGTTAAGTTTGACCCGGAAATTATCGGTCCACGGGATATTATCAAAATTATTGAGGTAAGTCATTCATTAAAAAATTGTACTCACCTTTTTAAAAACAGTAATATATAGTCAGTGAAGAGAAATGAGAAAATATAGCTGAGAAAAAATGAAAATAACCTAAAATTCTTTAACTTTTCCCATGGAAATAAGCTCAGTCATTTTAAAATAAGCTGAAGGTAAGTAAATAGTAAATAATCTGAGAGAGGGTATCAGTGAATGGGTAAGAGAAAGATGAGGAAAAGACATTATTATTATTGTTTTAATTTTAAATATTCCCTAAGAAACATCAATATTGTCAAGATACTCTGTACATAGGGTTAAAGTGCCTAATTGTAATTTTTAAATGTGATCTGTGCCCAAACCAAGTATCTGTAGAGCAAAGGAATGTTGGCCTTGGGAAAAATGATACCACATTTTGCCACTATGCCAGGCCAGTCGGCCAGTCTTGTGGTGGAGAGCTTGGCCGCTTCTGCTTTGGAGAATCAGTGAGAATTTTCATGCATGCCCTGCCTCTTACTCCCTTCTCAATTTGTCCATAGACATGCCATTTCCTTTTTACAGTTTATACAATACTAGACTATAAGAGAATGAGCATCAGTGGTGATCTGAATGGGTTAAGGCCGTCAAAACTGAACAAGACTAAATTGTAACAGCTAGTAAGGATAAATTAAGTTTAGTGGGAACTACATGTTATAAAATTGCCTATGAAATGAAACCTATTATAGCAGGATTAATGTAGTATCCTGAATTTTCTCTTCTCTGTGTGTGTGTGTGTGTGTGTGTGTGTGTGTGTGTGTGTGTGTTTACAGAGAGATACTGTCTGTTATATGGCCTGGGAGAGGTTTTTTTTTTTTTTTGCGACAGTCTCCCTCTGTTGTCCAGGCTGGAGTGCAGTGGCATGATTTCGGCTCACTGCAACCTCTACCTCCCAGGTTCAAGCAATTCTCCTACCTCAGCCTCCCAAGTAGCTGGGACTACAGGCGTGTGCCGTCATGCCTGGCTAATTTTTGTATTTTTACTAGAGATGGGGTGGTTACCATGTTGGCCAGGCTGGTCTCAAACTCCTTGACCTCAGGTGATCTGCCTGTCTTAGTCTCCCAAAGTTCTGGGATTACAGGCGTGGAACCACTGCACCCGGCCTGGGAAGTTTTTTGTTTTGTTTTGTTTTTTTTTTTTTTTTTTTTGAGACAAAGTACTCTTGGTCCCCCAGGCTGGAGTGCGATGGCGCGATCTCGCCTCGCTGCAACCTTCGCCTCCCGGGTTCAAGTGATTCTCCTGCCTCGGTCCCCCAGGTAGCTGGGATTACAGGTGCCTGCCACCATGCCTGGCTAATTTTTGTATTTTTAGTAGAGACGGGGTTTCACCATGTTTTCCAGGCTGGTCTAGAACTCCTGACGTCAGGTAATTCACCAGCCTTGGCTTCCCAAAGTGGTGGGATTACAGGTGTGAGCCACTGTGCCCAGCCCCGGGAGTGCTTTTTGACGTAGAAATGATCCTGCTGCTGATGGTCCAGGGCTCCACCCTTGAAGGCAGACAACACAACTTTTTTATCAGCTGAGGAAAGATGCTCAGAGAGGTTAAGTAACTTTACTCATAGTATCCAGCTCATGGACAGCAGAACTGGTGCTCAAACCCAGGTCTTGTGCTTTCGAGCTCAGTGGCCTTTGTGAGTCTAGTACACCACAAATCTTAAAGAACAGTAGTGATATGGCATCGATGAGGCTCAGACATCAGACTGATGCAGTCAACAGCAAGGAGAGTCCCACGTGGTGCCTTTGAACATGGCTTTGTCACCATTTCTGATTTTTTTCTTTTCTTTTTTTTTTTTTTTTTTGAGATAGAGTTTTGCTCTTGTTGCTCAGGCTGGAGTGCAGTGGCATGGTCTCAGCTCACTGCAAGCTCTGCCTCCCGGGTTCAAGTGATTCTCCTGCCTCAGCCTCCCAAGTAGCTGGGATTACAGGTATGCACCACCACGCCCAGCTAATTTTTGTATTTTTAGTAGAGACGGGGTTTCGCCATGTTTGTCAGGCTGGTCTCAAACTCCTGACCTCAGGTGATCCACCTGCTTTGGCCTCCCAAAATGCTGGGATTACAGGTATGAGCCACCGCGCCTGGCCAACCCTTTCTGATTTCTGATATCTCGCTTGCTTCTACCCTACCCAACCTGGTAAGTGTAGTGCGGCATCCATGCTGACCTTATTTGGGGAATATTGCTAATGTCTGTTCTCCATTCTTGCATCTCTGGGCCATTTTTTCCCTAATATGATTAGGCTGGTATTAGTTGTAAAAGGATTTGTCTTTAGACAGTCTCAGCTGCTCTTTCTCCCACCCCAACTTTTAATTTTTGTGTAAAAGTCGCAGCACTAGAGTTCTGGGGCCCTTCTCTTAATTGTGCTACCAGACAAGAGCATTCCTGGCAGTTTTTCCTGTGTGTTATTCATAAAGAGTATCAGAGATATAGTGGTCAGATGAACGTGGTAACAAAGCGCTTGAGTTAAACTGTGAGCAAAGCACAAGATTGCGGTGTAGACTCTGTTGGGGCACAGCCGAAGCTGTGCTTCCAGTTGCTGAAGGAGCCAAGTTCTGCCACAGTGGCAAGAAGCCTGGGCTGGAAGCTGGAGGCTGGAGCTCTGGGTCCAGCTCTTCTGAGAAGGCTGGGGTTTTGGGCAAGGTGTTTATCCTCTCCAGCCTTCTGTTTCCTCATACATGGAATGAAGGTTTCTGGCCATTAGGTATTTGGGATTCCTTCACTCAGAAATGCTAAGTATAAATTATAAGTCAGCACTGCTCAGCTTTGGGGTCTGGGGAAGCTGTCTTCCCAGAAGTGCTAAACTTCTGCACAGGGTTTGTAGGGCTATTGGGTAAAGAAGTTGTGAGCAGAAAGCCCACAAAGTCTTCTGAGGCACTTTTAGATTAACTTTCTAATTTCCAAAGCTGAAAAGTGCTTTCTACCAATGCATGTTTTAACCAAGTACCTTCCTCCTTTTCCCCCACCCCTCTCTTTTTAATGACAAGGAAATTGGCTTTCATGCTTCCCTGGCCCAGAGAATCCCCAACGCTCATCACTTGGACCACAAGATGGAAATAAAGCAGTAGGTAGAACACAAAATATAAACTCTAGCTCTCATCTAAGTGCCTTCTTCTACCTGGGCCCAACTCTGCCTGCTGGTCCTGTCTTCCCATGGTGCCTTCCTCCTGGATTAGCTGCCTTTACCCTTGTAATATGAACCCTCTAAAACAGTGCTGTCCGAAAGAAGTTCTGGAATGATGGCAGTGTTCTGTATCTGCACTGCCCAGTGTGATAGCCGCTAGTCACATGTAGCTAGTGAGCACTTCAAATGCAGCTAGTGTGACTGTGGAAATTAATTTTTAATTTTTAAGTAATTTCAATTTAGCTACCTTTGGCTAACAGATTGGACAGCACTTAAGTTGGGAGGGAGGGAGAGAGTGTAGATTTTTTTCCTTTGGTATTGTTTTCAGACTTTATTTGCATGGGTTCTAGAACTAGAATTTGAGGACAGGCATAATGGCTGAGTGGAAAGAAAATGGCCCAGGAGCAGAAGACCTGAGATCATTCATTGTTTCAGATGGCCACTTACTCATTCAGCACCATAAAGGCTGCTGTTGTGTTCAGGGCAATGTGCTAGGTGCGGGGATAAATATCTTCCCTGTCTTGGAGGGGCTCATAGTCTGACTGAGAAAGAGTGAGTGAGCCATGAAATCAGTGGTGCTGGCAGATTCTGGAAGGTCTAGGAAAACTCCAAGCAGGGGACATAGGATCTGAGCCTCAAAGAATGAGTGGAAGTTTGCTTGACTGGACGAATTGGTCGGGGGTACCCTCGGGGACTGCTGTGGCTTGGTTCAGTAGGCATGCCCGGGGCACAGGAGGAGCTGACAGGAGAGGCATCTGGACAGCCAGTTGGTGGTCTGGTTCTTGAGTAGCAGTCCAACAGCCTAAGACTTCAGCCTCACAGGCCGGTGGTTTTCATGTCATGTTTTAGGTGCATTTGAGGTTCCACAACCACTCAGTTGGAATTTCATGGATGCTGCAGCTAACATGAGACCACAGCTGTTGGCCATGACCCCCGATTCCAAACTATGGTGTTCATTGAGACAGCCAGTGGTCACTGTTCTCATGGACTCTATTTTAAATAATTGTTCAAAAATTGAACGTATAAGTTTATATCAGTAAAATACTGCTTTTATCTGTTTTTTCTTTGGGGTTCTGTATAAGATTGCACTTTGAAAAGAGAGCTAAGGCAACCAAAGGCCGAGGATGGTAGTCTTCTTTGGGGCTAGATTCTCAGCTTTGGGGCCTCAGTTGCCTCACCCATAAATTGAAGGTAACCACGGTGTATGAAGGCAGGGACTGGGCCTCAACATCTCTGGAACCTCCTTGTAGTGATGTTTAGACCTCTAGATGCTCCCTCAGATGGCCAGTGTCAGAAAGAGAAGGTCTTACTTTCATTTTAACCCTTGGTCTGTTCCAGGCGTGTGACAAAGGCAGGTCTTAAACTGAGTCCTCAGGAGGGGAGTGGCTTGTAACCCAGGTGACAAGCAGTGTCTGATATATCTGTGTTGCTGCATTTGCTTTCCAGGTGGAAGAAGTCTTTCCTGTGCAGCCTGGTGTTTGGCATCCCTGTCATGGCCTTAATGATCTATATGCTGATACCCAGCAACCAGCCCCACCAGTCTATGGTCCTGGACCGCAACATCATTCCAGGACTGTCCATTCTAAATCTCATCTTCTTTATCTTGTGCACCTTTGTCCAGGTATGTATTAGAAAAGTGGGCAGACCTCTCCCCTCCATGTTGTGTGTGGCCCTCAGATGTTCTGCCTGCTAAGCACAAACATAGCCCTTTAGCTTGGTTTAGATGGCACTTTATTGCAGCTTTCATGCCCCACCCAGGCAGTTGCTGCTTTTTTTCTCTCTTATGACTAGTAGGTGGGGCTTGGGGACCCTCCAATGTGGGGGACTACTAAGGGCCTGGTTTCGCTGTCAATTTCAGTTGATTTCAAGCGATCAGAACTGTCCCTGGAATAGCAACCTCCTTGCTGCAAGGTGTGGTGAACTCTGTCTCCAATTCGCATATTGTTTAGGTTAATTTACATTTGTTGTTGGAAGCAACAACTGGATCACCCTCGAGCCCATGCTGCTCTTGAGTGTTCTATCTTAAAAGGTGGAGATATGGTCCTTAATCTTTGAGGAGGTTATAATTTAAAGAGAAAGACATGAAACATCTGCTTTGGTGGTGATATTAAGGAACTAGCTGTGTGTCTGGTGGGAAGTGTGCCTCTATGCATATATTTTGGAATATAAAACTAAATCCCTGTCCTAATATTGGAATGTTCAGGGGCTATTTGGGGGCAAGCATTGGTAGGCTGGATTTTTTTTTTTTTTTCCGAGAGAATGTCACCCTGTCACCCAGGCTGGAGTTCAGTGATATGATCATTGCTCACTGTAGTCTTGAACTTCTGGGCTCAAGCGATCCTCCCACCTCAGCCTCCTGAGTAGCTAGGACCACAGGCGCCTGCCACCATGCCTGGCTAGACAGGATCTTGCTATGTGCCCAGGTTGGTCTCAAACTCCTGGCCTCCAGCAGTCCTCCAGCCTCAGTCTCCCAAAGCACTGAGATGACGGGTGTGAGCCACTGCCCCCCACCTGAATTTCTGGTTTTCTATATTTTGTTTGATTATAAGTGTAATGTACACTATTATTAACAAGTCAAACCATACTGAAGTATAAGAAGAAAAGGGGAAGATGCCCTTTCACTAATCACATTCTGCCTCCCGCCCAATCTCATTCCCCAGTGTTGCTGTGGTAATATTAATAGTTGGGCATTTGGGCATGAATCTCTCCAAATCTTTATATTGAGAAAATGCACACTTGTGTGTATGTGTATGTTCATGTAATACAGATACAGACTTTTTTAACTGAAATGGGATCATATGAGATAGACTGATGTACAACTGGATTTTTCACTTAACCATGTATTAGACATCTTTTATGCCAGTGGCTTATAGGTAGAGCCCATTCTGTTTAGGGAGTGGAATGCCTTGTACTGTGTACACTATAAATGAGTCGTGATTTTTTCCCCCCAATGTTTCACCATTCTCTTATTAGCAGACATTTGTGTTGTATGCACTGGGATTTCAGGGTCTCACATGCTCTTGGTCATCCATTCCTGTGGACAGTAGTCCTCTGAATGGGAAAGTATATTTCATAAACGCACATCACAGAGGAAGAAGTAATGTCAAGACCACAAAGCTAGAGGCTTTGCCATCCCAAGGGCACTCGGCCCTGTGTCGCTCCTTGAACTCTCCTCCCTACGTGCTGGCAGCCTTCACTGTCCTTGTCTTTCAGGTCCTCGGCGGGTGGTACTTCTACGTTCAGGCCTACAAATCTCTGAGACACAGGTCAGCCAACATGGACGTGCTCATCGTCCTGGCCACGAGCATTGCTTACGTCTATTCTCTGGTCATCCTGGTGGTTGCTGTGGCCGAGAAGGCGGAGAGGAGCCCTGTGACATTCTTCGACACGCCCCCCATGCTCTTCGTGTTCATTGCCCTGGGGCGGTGGCTGGAACACTTGGCAAAGGTAACAGCAGCTTCGGGTTCAGAAAAGAGCTGCCGCTTCAGTAAACAAATCTCACTTCCTCTGAACACCATGTTTAGAATTACTAATTATACACAGTATAGAGAAATACTTAAAGAAATAAGAAACCTCCGTATAATTAAGGTGCTCTAGTCACTAATCTCCAAATTGATCACTACTTCTGAAATCCCAGCTAATCTGGTTAATTATTAAAACCATCGTTCAGGTGTGTTGTGTAAACTAAAGAACCCTGACCTTCAGGTCAGAGCCTACATTGTCTCTTAGTGCAAAACTGAGTATATAGTTGGTCTAGAAATCCCTACATCCTCCTCAAGGTCATGCCATTTTTAACACCCTCCATTGTCCCCAACACTGAAACGTATCTTATAAGAGAATGGAACTCAGGCCCTAAAAGAAATTAGATTGAACCGCAAAAAAAATGGTCAGTGGGAAGACTGTTTGTTTCCAGGCTGAAATGTAATTCCCAGACCTTGGTGGCACGGGCACTGTACATCAGTGTGGAAGTGACACGCGTGGCCATGGGTGGTGGATAGCAAGTAATGCCCACCTGCAGAATCTTTTATCGTGCCGTGCGACTGTTTCTCTCACACCAGCTGTCTCTAACACCACGCTTGTGACTCTCAGGCTGGGTTTGGACAGGTCTGCTTTCAATAGCTCTCATTTCACATTCTGGTTATTTCCTAGAGCAAAACCTCAGAAGCCCTGGCCAAACTCATGTCTCTCCAAGCCACAGAAGCCACCGTTGTGACCCTTGGTGAGGACAATTTAATCATCAGGTGGGTTATGTTATCAAACGTCTTTGGGGTTGGTATCTATCAACCTGTATGAGCTGCGTCAGATGCCCATGTTGTATTGACATTGCAGTAGACCTTGTCAGTGCAGGCAGAGACACAGTAAGATCCCCCCTCTCAATCCAGTTACAAAAGCAAGGCATTGAACTATAAAACAAGATTTGTAGGTGGGGTGTGTGTGTCAAATGGCACATGGGAGGTGTAGATGATTAGTATTCCAGGAATTAAGAAGAGGAAGGCTAGTGGTGGTCAAGGGAAACTTCACAGAGAACATAGAGTATGAACTAGGCCTTCCTAGTAAGATACAGATTCAGACAGGCGGAGAGATAAGGACTTCAACTTGCTAAAGAATAAAAATTGAAGGAGAAATTTATCTTCCTCATAAGGTTGCCTGATATTAAAAATAATAATTATTATTATTCCTGGAAACTCTTGTTGCATTTATTATTTGCTAGACTCTATTCTAATCTGTTTGTATTTAATCTAACCAAAGATGGAAACTTTCTGAGGAAGGTACTATTAATACTGTTAATTTACAGATGAGGAAACTGAGGTTCAGAGAGGCTAAGCAACTGGCCCAAGGTCGCACAGGTATTCATTAATGGAATTGAAATGTAACCCAGGCTGGTGGATCCAGAGTCCATTTTCTTAACCTTTATACACACTAACTCTTAATGCATATTTATTAATATGGAAATTTTTGCTAATTAAGGCGGGGTTAGCTTCTTTTTTATATTCTAGGCAATGGTTATTTCAGCCCTCCTTCATATTCCTAAAATCTCTCCCTGGTCCCACCACATTTTCTATTAGCCTGTGGTCTCGCTTCGGACTGCTGGAAGGAGAAGCGTTCAGATGGAAACCCTCCAGTTCCCTGTCCCTCAGCCTACACAGCTAGCGTCCTCCGTGGCACCTCCCACTCCTGCCCCGTTGGTGGGAGAGGTGTCTCCTCCTATGCCTCTACCAGGGAATCTTTCTCTGTTGGTTTTCTCAGTGGTTTTTGGTGTCTCTGATTCTTATCCTCCGATGTCATGTAGACTCTAACCACTCCCATTGTCAGAGGCATTGTGCCTTGCCCCCCCTGCATGCCCTTGTCCATGTATCACACTGTTGCTGGAGCCCGCCTGCCCTAGCTGTGTCCTGGAGCCCTGGGCGTGAAGGCTGAGACAGACCCCTTGCTTCCCCATGGGGTCTGCAGGGCTGGTGCACCTGGCCCTGGGCACACCCTAGGTAAGTAGAGGAACTGACTGGGGCCGCACGGATGCATGAGTGTTCATGAGGCACAGGCTGGCTGCCGCGCGGTGGCACTGGTTTTTTCTGGATGCTGGCTTTTAAATGATCATTGCAGTTGTAGGAATGGCAACTGAGATTTGAGTCCTTCTGGTGTTCCAGGCTCATTCCTCAGCACTTGCCACAGATCGTCTAGTTCCACTCTATAGCTGTTCCGTGAGGCAGCACTGTCATCATTGCAGCTTTCCTCAGAAAGAGCCAAGTGCAGTGAGGTGGAGTAATATCCCCAGAGTCCATGGCAGGCAGGCAACAGAGCTGGGATTGGTCCCCTGGAGGCACCGAGCCCCCCCCAGCCACTGTGCTGTGCTGCCCCCAGACAGGACCCTGTGTGACAGCACCTGGCATGCTGGGCTCTGGTGTGCCATGGGTCTGTAGCAGTCACATGCCTGGGCTGCTTTTTTTCTCTCTTATAAATTAATTGCATGGAAGTTTCTGAGAAGTGAAAACGTTTAGACGGGGAGCCAGGCCTCTGGCAGCTGTGTTGGTTTTGACTCACGTTTCCTCTGACTCGCCTTGCTAGGGTCTTCGGTACAGTTTGAGGCGCCTCTGATGGCACTGACTGCAGTTGCTTGGAACTATTCCAGGGATCTGAACAGGAGGAGAAGGCATCTGCCAGCCGAAGTGCCCACAGAGTGCGTGCAGCACCTGTCATAACTCAGTTCTTTTCCAAGAATGCCGATTCATGTTTTTGGCTGGGGACACATGGCCTGACTACTACCATGCAACATGATAGGACATTATTAAGCTGGGGCCAGAAGACCAGAGTTCAGTCTGCCTTTGGCTCACAGTTTGGGTGTGGTCATTCCTACTTGCCTCCTGACAGCACACCCTGGGCCCACCCCTCTGTCCCAGGCCAAGGCTGCACCCACTGCTGCCTGGATTGCCACAGTCTAGGCCTTTCCTGAGTTCAACCATTCTGTGCTTTGAGGTGCACTGGGCACTGGTCTCCAGTGACTCTGCCTCCCACAGGGCCCTGCCGCATCTGGGCCTCTGCCTGTGCTTTGGTCCATGGCACCATCTGAAGGCCCCCAGAGTTTCTCGCATAACTGCCTTCTTTCACTGAGGCTTGGGCCTCTTCCTCTGACTATCCCTTTGCTGGGGACACTTGTGCTTTCTCTTTACTCCAAGTCTTGGGTGCTGGCAGTGTTTCCAGGTGCTATCCATCTGGCACATTGTAGTTTCTTTCCTTGCTGCTGCTGCTGCTTAGTCTCCATGGGCTTTCTTCTCTCCTTATCCCTTGTGAATGGTCCTTGGGGTTCTGGTGGTGATGCCTCTGTCTTTGTGTGTTACACACCGTCACTGGGACATCTGACTCTCCCATGTCTTTGGTTAACAGCTGTAGAAAGCTCATTCTTAAACCTATATCTAGATCCCAGAGACAACCTGCCAGTGGGAACATTTTTCTCGGGTGGCTGGTAAAGTCTCAGACTCGGCCTGTCTGTATTTTTCTTCACCTTCCCCCACTTTTTCCCCAAAAATATTCCCCTTCCTTGGTGCCTGTCTGTCTCAGGGAAAGGCACCCTCATGCCAGCTCCCAGTGTGTCCTCTACAATGCCTCCCTGCCCTCATTCACACATCTACACTCCATTCTCATGGTTCTAGCACCTCCGTCTCTAGGGGCGTCATCTACTGGCATCATGCTGGTCCAGGCCACCGTGGCCTTGCCCTTAAAGCACCGCAGCTGTCTCCTTATACGGCTTGCAGTCAGGTATCCATCCAGTATTTTTCCACATTCAAACTAGTGATCTTTCTGAAAGCACAAGTTGATCATATGACTCTGTATTGGAAAATCCTTCAACGGCTGCCTGCTGTCCTTAGGATCAACACCACCTTCCTAACGTGGCAGTGAGGCCCGGCGTCTGCCTGCATGCCTGTTGAGCCAAGCCTGTCTTGCCATCCCCTGCCTTGTGCTCCAGCTGCCCTGCACCACTGGCAGGTCCCAGGAAGGGGCTGCCTCTCTCTGCAGACCTCTGCACACATCCTTCCTTCCCCTTGAACTCCCTTCTTCCTCATCCTTTGCCTGGCTCCTTGCCTTCAGGGCTCAGCATGGAAGTTGCATCCTCCAGAAGCCTTTCCTGATTCCCCAGGCCTGACTCAGCTGTGGCTCCTCAGTGCTCTCAGAGCACTCTGTGCCTCAGCCGCCCTGGGATGTAAACACGGCAGGCTAGTAGAGATACTCACTAGTGGAATGTAACTGCTGTCAGATGTTAAAGAAACATTACACACATGGGTGTGCTTGATATTAAAAGGCTTGCACATCCCCATCCCCAGTCTCCCACGTTGAAATTTTGTTTTTTGTTTTTTGTTTTTAATAATTGATGGGGAAACAAATTACATATCATATGTAGACCAGTGACCATAATGCTGTAAGTTTTTTCTTTGTTTTCTTACCTTGTGTTTAATGAGGAAGGGGAGTAGAAGAGAGGAGACAAGTGAAGTAAACAGATTGCTGTCAGAAACTCTTAAAGATGAAGAAGTGCTGTGAAACAAACCACTGTCTTTTAATTAAGAGGGCTCCTATCCCTTAGCACTTGGAGAGGAATAGTAGATTCTGAAGAATAAATGCTATTGAGATTCACCAGAAGGAGCCACATTAACTCCCATAAAGGACTATTCCTCTTAAGCTGCTTAAGTTAGAAATATGTGGTTAACTTAGATCAAAGGAGAAATTCAAAGTTAGATTTAAGAGATTAGCATTACTAAAGATTTCTTAGACACCCAATTGTACATTTGTGCCACTTTTAAGTCTCCTTACAGAAGTGGACATTTTAAAACTTAGTGATTAGGTTCTGCTGGAGGAGGGTCTGACCTTTAGTTCTTAGGGTCTTTCATTTCTGAATTGAATGCAGGGAGCTCCTCCTCCTGACTTGGGCTTCTCAGGCCATGTGGAGACCTCTGTGGGATGATAAATCCTCCAGTTTGTACAGAGGAGGCCTCAAGGGCATTGTTGAGCCTGGACTTCTCCATCCCTGGAGGACTTTAAAAATAAGCATAGAATATTCTTGGATTGTCGAGATCCTTCCCTTCTCCTGGCTCACTCAGCCACCAAACAGATTAACACAGGTATACTCCCAGCACTAAAGACTTCAGTCTTTGAAAGTCTCCTTTTCAGTGCTCCATTTATTTTGATTGCCATGATTGAACTTACTGTGTGTGTCTTAATTGTCCATCTGTGTGTGTCTGCTTTTAGTTATGAGGCTATAAACCTCCTGAGAGGAAGGCTGTACTGTGTCCTGTTTGTAACCCCAGGCTACTCTGGTGCCTGGTACACAAGAGGCCAATCAATATGAAAATGTCAATTAAGAGATAATAAAAATCACCAGCATTCACTGGGCACTTACTGTGTACAGGTGCCATACTAAGCATCTCACATAATCCTGGGAAGTAGCCAGACAAGCCTTGAATCCTCATAGCACAGAGACTGTTCCTGAACAGTTTTTACAAAGGAAAATATTGGTGCAAATATTTAACATACCTACCTGCATATGGTAGTTACTAAGTTTTATATATTTGCATGTAGCAACATTTTAATAAGTGGGCATGTATGTTCAATTTTGTGCCTTTCTAAGACATCTTCAGGTTTTGCTCAAATAGGGGTAATAAGACTCACCTTGTATGTTTCTGGGAAGATTCAGTGAGATAAAACATGTAAAAATCTAGCACAGTTCCTAGCACACAGTAAATGTCTATTTCTCCTTCTCAAGTAAATGAGATGACTTTTGTCCCTGTGGTAGTTTAAATGTAGTCGTCATAGAATGAAAGGAAAGTGTAAAATAACCTCAGGGCCCTGCTTGCTTTCCATGTACGCTCTTCTGGCTTGTTCACCATTTGCTCATGAGCCAGTGTTACCTCTACAATTAATTCTGTTAGGCCCATGCCATGCTTTTAGTGAGCTGCTGCTGAAGCTGGCCCTGGGTCATGGGTGGCCTCCCTCTGGCTTTGTCTCTGTTCCTGCCGTCTTCTCCTCTCTCGCCCACAGAATCTCTGTCTCTGCAGGGTGTGTCCCACCAGCGCACAGTATGTACAAGACAAAATCCCCACTTTAATCCACCCTCCCTTCTAGTGCTCTGTTTTTCTGTTCCTTCACAACAAGCCTTCTTTAAAAACGGGACTTTTGCTGTTGTCTTTGCCTTTTCACCTCATGCTCTCTCAGCCCATTCTAGTTGAGCCTCTGCCTTTACCAGTTTCTGAACTTGGTTTGGCCACAGACATCAAATAATTTCTGTATACCCTAATCCAGCATTGCTTGTGTTCAGTCCTCATTTCAGTCTCTCACAAGTATTTCCCCCTTGTCTGTTTGATTGTTTCTTCTTTTTGCAATGTGTAACTCACATTCACTGCAGCACACAAACCCTATGTGTAGAGTGTGATGAATTTTATGTATATTTGCCCCTGTGGAACTACTTGTGCAGCGTTTGGTGCTGTTGGATGGGTGCTCCCTCCTCTTCCGCCTCCTCCTCCTCATTCCCATTCTCATTTTTCTCCTGTGTCACTGACTGGTCCTTCAGGTTCTGCTCAGCCTTCGAATGGTGGAGTGTCTCAGGGATGAATTCTAGGACCCCCTTCTCTGTTTCTCCGTTCACTCCTAGGGACGCTCATGTGATTTCATGGCTTTAAATGCCATCTACATGTGACAGCTCTCAGGTTTGTTCTCTACCTCTGACCTCTTCTTTCCACTTCAGACTCTTATTTTCAGCTCCCTAGTTGATATTTCTACGTGGAAGTCAAATAGGCATCTCAAACCCGACATGTCAAAATGAACCATTTCTCTCCCATCTCTTCCCCTTCTCTTCCCTCACCCTCCCTTAGCTGCTTCTCCATAATCATCTCCATCTCATTAAATGGTTTCTCTATCCACCCAGTTGCTCAAAAATGAAAATTTGGAGCTCATCTTTGATTCCTTTCTTTACCCTCACATTTAGTGCATTTTCACATCTTGTTGACACATGATCTAAGAATATGCCGTGTATTTCTTCTCCCTTGCTCTGTCGTCCAGGTTACTTCCATCTTCTGCTTGGGCTACTGCAACAGCCTGACTCTCCCCCTTACTCCTGTGATCACCCCTACAGCCCATTCTCATGCACCAGCCAAAGAGATCACTTAAATGTGAATCAGATCGTGTCACTTTCCTGCTAAAGCCTTACATTGAAAACCCATGCTCTGCTTCAGGAGACCCGGCATGATCTGGACTCTGCCTGCTTCTCTGACCTCAACTTGCACGTCACTTACTTCCTGCCAGCCATGCTTGCTTTCTTGCTGTTTCTCAGACGTACCCTTCCTGCCTGCCTTAAACCTTTGTGTCAGTTGTTTTCTCTCCATGAACTTCCTTTCCCTGTGTGTTGGACCTTCTTGGCATGCAGGTCTCAGCTTAAACGTTACCTTCCCAGAGAAGCCCTTCCAGTCTCCTCCTCCCTCCGCCACTCTAAGAAGCCCTCCAGTCACGTTATCCTGGTTTATTTTCATCACAGCACTTATTAATATTTAATACCTGATTCTATCTTGCTTGTTGTCCATTTCCACCACAGAACTTGTCTTCATGAGATGGTAGGGCCTTTGCTGTGCCATTCACAGCTGTGTCACCAGTGCCTAGAACAATGCCTGGCATTCAGCAGCTGCATGATAAATATCTGTAAATGAACAGATCAAATGAATACTGTTGCTCAGTATAAGCAAGCGTAGTATAACTAGTGTGACAACTGACCTAGAACCTGACCTGGTGACCGAATGAGTGGCCATATGAGTGATGAGTGGCGTCTGTTGCAGGGAGGAGCAAGTCCCCATGGAGCTGGTGCAGCGGGGCGATATCGTCAAGGTGGTCCCTGGGGGAAAGTTCCCAGTGGACGGGAAAGTCCTGGAAGGCAATACCATGGCTGATGAGTCCCTCATCACAGGTGAGGCGGCTTGTTTTATGTTCCCTCAGGCAGATATCATAGCAGCTTTCAGGTCACATGAGTGCTGGATGGGGCTGAGCAAATGACGGTTGTCTCTTTCCTACTTCTAGGAGAAGCCATGCCAGTCACTAAGAAACCCGGAAGCACTGTAATTGCGGGGTCTATAAATGCACATGGCTCTGTGCTCATTAAAGCCACCCATGTAGGCAATGACACCACTTTGGCTCAGATTGTGAAACTGGTGGAAGAGGCTCAGATGTCAAAGGTAATGAAGACATTTTTAAAACGAACTTCATCTTTCTCATTTTAGAAATTATGTCAAGAGTTCTGGGAAATCAGACAGTTTTATTGAGTAGAGATTGATTAGTAAATGTGGTTAAATGAGGGAGATTATCCCAGTCCTTATCAATGCTTGTGGTGGTTTATTTCTTCATAGGTTGTAATTTCCCACGGTCTTGGTGTTTTCTTTTCATAGGCCCCCATTCAGCAACTGGCTGACCGGTTTAGTGGATATTTTGTCCCACTTATCATCATCATGTCAACTTTGACGTTGGTGGTATGGATTGTAATCGGTTTTATCGATTTTGGTGTTGTTCAGAAGTACTTTCCTGTAAGTTGAATGCCTTGGGCTGTATGGTGGTTGTGTTTTAAATAATCTACTGACACTGATCCTATTCTTTCATCTCTTGGATTCACTGGGCTTTAATTATTCATTGCATTTTATTTGCTTGCTTCTCTTATTGACAGCAAAATTTAAGCCAGAGCGGGATAAACAGTCACTCTCCTTCTGTAGGTTTCTATTAAAGTTCTCCTTTGCATTTTACTTAGATGATTTTCACAGACACCAATTGGTGCTCAGTTGTAATGCTTGAAGCATTTACAATATGTATTATTGGTCCCTTTTGAGTTTATGAGGCATACGTCATAGAAAATAGCTCACTTTAAATGTCAATGGCATGATAATATTATTTAACACATTTTAAGAAAAATATGTTTTGATGTATATATTTGCCAGTACCATCTTTGACCTCCCAGCTTCCCAAGTAATGTGAATAGCTTTTTATGTTTTCTTATTTATTTATTTATTTATTTATTCATTTGAGATGGAGTCTCCCTCTGTTGCCCAGGCTGGAGTGCAGTGGATTAATCTCGGCTCACTGCAACCTCCGCCTCCCAGGTTCAAGCAATTCTCCTGTCTCAGCCTTCCGAGTATCTGGGACTGCAGGTGCACGCCACCACGCCCAGCTAATTTTTGTATTTTTAGTAGAGATGGGGTTTCACCATGTTAGTCAGGCTGGTCTCGAACTTCTGACCTCAGGTGGTCTGCCTGTCTCGGCCTCCTAAAGTGCTGGGATTTCAGGCATGAGCCACTGCACCCAGACGTGAATAGCCTTTTATAGTAAATGTTTTCTAAACATTGTATGTGAGGCAATGGCATATACATTTTTTAGTTTAAAAAAGTGGTTGAAGAACACTATCTTAGGAAATATGGTTTTATTAAACCTCAGAAAAAGAAAGGAAAATACAGGCCACCCCTCAAAAAACGTATTTTCTTGAGGAATAAAATCTATATTACATCTGTGATTCTCAGTTGGGAGCTATGACATTTTTGGTTTTTGTGACTGAGGGGATGCTGCTAAACATCCTACAAGGCACATCACAGGCCCCTACGACAAAGAATTATCTGGCCCCAAATGTCAGTAGCACTGAGGTTGAAACCTTGATAATGTACTTAAAAAACTAATGGCACACTTAGAACAGTATTTGGTACTGTTAACGGCACAATGAGCAGAACAGTGAGTGGTAACGTCACCATGAGTGGAACAATGTTTTTACCTTATCTTATTCCTAGCCCAGTCTAATGCTTGTTATACCACAGAGCCATGGAATAAGAAACCAAACTGGGTGTGGTGAAGCACCTGTAGACTCAGCTACTCGGGAGGCTAAGGCAGAGGATCCTTTGAGTCCAGGAGTTTGAGGCTGTAGTGTGCTGTGACGGTGCCTGTGAATAGCCACTGCACTCCAGCCTGGGTAACACAGCAAAAAGTACAAATATGGAATGGATAATTTTTTTCTTTTAAAAACAATTCTGCACATAATTAAAAGTATATCAAATATTCTCAGGACACATGTCATTTACTAGGATGTCATTTTCTCCCTCAAATTTTCCATCTTAAATTGAAAAATGTTCACGTTAAACACTTTCTGACATCTAAGGAAACTCAGTGCTCTTAAAAGTAACTTACAGATATATTGGTAGAATGTGCCAGTGGCTATCCATGGCACCTGACCGCCTACAATTTCGGCTTTTTCGGGAGAGCAGTGCCTTGGCATGTGGCCATGGGAAGACTCAGTCCTAAACAAGTTGGAATCTGTGGCTTTCTGCTGTTCCATGCCTTTCCATCTTACTTTGGCTTCTTTTGTTTTTATCTGCAATATCAGGGAGGATGCTGGCAAACGAGGTACTGCATGTTCCTTTAAGATACTATCATCTCTCTGCTGTACAAAAGTCATTGTAGAGAAGGGCTCATGGTAACTTCCAGAAGTCCCCCCAGTCCTGTCAGAATGCCAGGTGTGATTTTGACAAGAATTAGTGTGTTTTTAAAAAAGATTACATAATCTTTATCTCTAAAAATCTTAAACAATATATCCCTCTACCTAAATATAACTGTTTCTATGAAAATTAAAAGACCCCTTTAGTAATATATCTTATTTTAGAATCCTGCCTTTCAGAGTGAAATAATAAAATATAGATGGAAGCTAACGAGGTTGTGGTCCGTAGCCTTACCCTAGACAACTGTGCTTTTTACAATAAGTAAGCGAACATAGTATCTCTTGATTATACTCCATAGCCACCAGCCATTTTTAAAAATAAACCGAGATAATTCAAGCTCTCAGAATATAAATAATACCAAGTGTCTGGAAAGTAGACTCATATTTTGTTTGTTTTGGGTTACAAAGAAAAAATAGTGAAAAATGCAGAGAAGAAAGTAAAGATACCTCCAAATCATATCCCTAGAAGTAATTTTTTTGCACATTAGTGGATACCTTTCCAGTATTGTTGAAATGCTATATTCAGATATAGGCAGAGATTTTTGCATGAATAAATCCAGCACATGCCATTTTGTACTTGCTTTTTAATTTTGCAATGCTGCTGGTACCTTTCCATATCAGTAAATGTAGATATACATCATCATTCCAACAGTTGCCTCGTATCCTATTATATATACCACACCTACAATTTAATTAACCAATCTCCTATTGTTTCCATTTTTTGTCATTACAAAAGCAAAACACTGTGGTAAATATTCTTGCATCTTTTCTCATTTATATGATTATCACCTTAGAATAACATTTTTAAAGCTTTCCTAATGATGAAAAAAATAACGGTAATAGTTACTGTTTCTTAGATGCTGCTCCTATGCCCGGTGTTATGTACTGTGTATATGTATATGTTTATATGTGTATTGCCTCATTCAATCCTTACCACAATTTATGAGCTATGCATTATCATCTCCATTTTGTGTATGAGGAAACCAGGATCTGGGTCTGTGTGGTCCATCTCCAGAGTCTGCTTTCCCCTGTCAAGGGCTTTTATTTGACTCTGCTCCTGTAATGCCTCTTTGAGGGAAACCTGTAGGATGAAGTTGGATAGCTGGGATGTGGAGAGCAGTAATGTGTTCTCTATGATGGCAGAGCAGTGCAGAATACCATCTGTTTCCTAACCCCAAGTTTGTCACGCTGTGCCCAGTGCCCCCCTGAAATGCCCTTATGTGATTAGAGTTCTGGGAGCTTCCTTATTGAACTCTCAACCTGCCTCTGACTCTGTTCTGTTTTCAGAACCCCAACAAGCACATCTCCCAGACAGAGGTGATCATCCGGTTTGCATTCCAGACGTCCATCACGGTGCTGTGCATTGCCTGCCCCTGCTCCCTGGGGCTGGCCACGCCCACGGCCGTCATGGTGGGCACTGGGGTGGCTGCGCAGAATGGCATCCTCATCAAGGGAGGCAAGCCCCTGGAGATGGCGCACAAGGTCAGCCTGTACCACGGCTTTCCCCGTCCTGAGAGATGAAAGTAGTATCTGTTTACTATTTCACATTGAGAGAAAAGCCTGAGAGCCACTCAAGACAGCAGTGTTGATTACATAGAATAGTAAGTCAAGTATAACTAGGAATAACGACAGTAGCAACAGAATAGCCACCAATCATATAATGAAACACTGTCAACATTACTTGATTTAATTGCATTAACAACTCTGTGTGGTAGGTGCTTATCATTCACATTTTACAGATGAGGAAACTGCAGCAGGAAGAGATTAGGTTACTCGCCCAAAGGCCTGCAGCTAAACAGAGGCAGAGCTGGGCTTCACACGCAGGTAGCCAGGCTCCAGGACAAAAACCCCACCGTGAGATCTGTGGGATTAGTGATGGGTCCTGTGACCCCGGGGAGTAAAGAGTGACTGACGGTGTTTGTGAAGTGTCTTCCTTTTGCCTAACTTACCTCTGGCCTTTCACACTTGCACCTATTTAATCAGCATTTGCTGGGCACTCACTGCATGTGGGCCCCACACTGGGTTCTGGCGATGGTCATGGTTTCCAGCTGCCAAGGAGCCCACCAGGTTAGGGGGAAAGACAGTGAACAAGTAAACAGCAAAGCTGAGTGAGTATTACGAGATACTGAGTATTGACCTGTGGTGCTTGATGCCCTGGGGACACTTGAACAGGGACCAATCCTAGACTTGGGGTGCTGGACTCAGGGATGAGGTTGCTGCAGGTGGTTAGGGAAGCGAATGCGAATGTTCATCTGAGACCTTACTGTTGCGTGAGAGCTGGACAGCGGAGCTGGGGAGGAGTGTTCCAACATGGGGATAGCAGGTGGACAGGACCTGTGGAGGTGGAACTTCCCTTCCCCTTGGTATCCCCAGCATCTAGCCTGAGACATCAAGTGCATTCAGAAGTTATCTGTTGAATGAGCAAATGAGGAACTGGAGGAAAATCACTGGGAGAGAGGAACTGGAGATGAGACTGTTGAGGGAGGGGCCAGAATCCAAAGGCTGAAGATTTAGTAAAGGGTTCTGAACGTTACCCTAGAAGCCGCGTGGGGATGGCATACCCACGTGATGTGACCGGATCGTGTGTTGGGAAGATCATTCTGGCTGCATAGTGAAGGATGCACTGAAAGCTGGCGAGAATCTCTGGAGGAAGATGAGTTAAGTGTGTTGAAGGAAGGCCACCACTCAGCATCAGAAACAAAAAGCTGAATTATTGTTTGCACAATTGTAAGGGAGAACCCTGCATAGAACCCTGCTGTGGGACATGGTCTGAGAAGAACAACCTGCTGGCCTTAAATGGGTTCGAATTATACACTTCAGGGATTACTGGACTTTCAGAAGCAGGGCTTAGGGCTCGGCTGGCCCTGGTCATGGAAGTGCAGGTACCTGTAGCTGCTGCCCGTATCTGAGCCCAGAGGTGTGGGAACTCTGCAGACTGCCATTGACCAAGTGTAACCAACTTAAAACTGGCTCCGGGGGTTTGCTTGTCATTATGGCCATAGAATAGTCCTTTCCTTTCTTGAACTCAGAGTGTGAGGACTCTATTCCCAGTAGCTTTTGCACTTAGGCAGGCAAGAGGAAGCTGTGGTTGGGCTCGGCGTATGGCAGTGGACAGGGAGGCAAGTGTCCCTCAGGGTCCTGACTCCTGACCTGACGTGAGGAAGTCTGTGGATGGTGTCACTATTGGGGGGACAGTGCTGTGCCATCTCCTGTACAGCCAAGGTTTCTGGCTTTGCCTGGTCAAGGTCAAGCCTCAGTGTGGCTGATTTGACTGGATACGTAGGGAAACAGTTTCTTTGCAGTGGGAGTTGTTGAACCCTGAGATTGAACGACAGAGGATCATGTTAGGAAGCTGTCTTGTTTCCTATCTGAGGCAGGTTGGGTGAGGTTCTGCATCAGAACTATGACTATGGAAGCCCCTCCATCTGTATTGTGGTCACTGAGTTGTGGTTGTTTTTGGCAGATAAAGACTGTGATGTTTGACAAGACTGGCACCATTACCCATGGGGTCCCCAGGGTCATGCGAGTGCTCCTACTGGGGGATGTGTCCACCCTGCCCCTCAGGAAGGTTCTGGCTGTGGTGGGGACTGCGGAGGCCAGCAGCGAACACCCCTTGGGCGTGGCAGTCACCAAATACTGTAAAGAGGTACGTGGACCTGGGCATGGCCCTGCCCTCCCCACCAGTGCTCCTTTACTCCTCACCATGTCCTTCTCTCCTAGCTGCCCTTGAGCAGGCCTTCTCTGTGTGGTCTGGAAAAGCACTTAGAAGGCCCCTCTGCAGCAGGCGGGGATAGGGCTCACAGTCAGCCCTTGCCACAGTTTCAGGTTATCACAAAGGGAGTTCAGTGTCACAGGCATTTGCTGAACATCACCAGGCACCAGGCTCAGGAGAACAACAGGAGTGGGATGTGAAGTCTACCCTTTGGAAGCTCACAACCTTGGGGAGTACGGGCAGTCTGGAAACTCAGTGCTTTGACAGTGCTTAGTGCAAGGGGAAACAAACATGAAATGGGAGTATTGGGGTGGGAGGGAGAAATCTACTCCCCTGGGAGCACCTGGGACAGAGAGGAACCAGCTGAGGTGAGCCAGAGCGCCCGGCAGGTTCTTGGCACTTCATAGAGAAGCATTGCTCTCTTTTGGTCTCTCCACATGAAATGTTCTGTTTTGTTTTCTCTTAATTTCAGTCTGAATATAGAGGCAGCAGAACGTGTCACACAGAATATTGCCCTGACAATTTTTAAACAGCCTGAGCAGTACTGTTAGCAGTAAATGTAGAAAGGTGATATCGTTGCCTTGAAAAACAGTTGACAACTCTTTGTGGTCAGAGGCTCTTCCAGAAACCTCATTTCTAGTTTTTCCTTCATGTAGGGTCAGACAGCCCACTGTTTCACACCTCTCCCTTCTGACATTTCAGGGAGAATCTCGCTCACCCTCAGTCATCCTTCATTTGTTGTATGGTCTGGAAAACTGCTTAGAAGGCTCCTCTGCAGCAAGTGGAGATAAGGGACTCACAGTCAGCCCTTGCCACAGTTCTAGGTTATCATAAAGGGAGGTCGGTGTCACAGGCATTTGCTGAACATCACCAGGCACCAGACTCAGGAGAATAACAGGAGTGGAATGTGAACTCTGCCCTTCAGGAGCTCACAGCCTGGGGGAGGACAGGCAGTCTAGAAACCCCAGCCATTCCTTTCCCCTGCCACCTTGTCCCCTCCTCCTCCAGGGTCTGATATACAGGCAATTATCTCTTGATAGCCTCAAAGAGCTTTGTTAACACTACTTATTCCATTGTTTTTATGAAATTATTTGCAACATAAAATTTACTTCTCCCTCTCTTTGGCACCTGCACTCCTCTTTAATTTGAGGTGTTTGATATGAATTGCCTTTTTCCTTTCCATTCGGTAACCTGTTCACTGTCATGAGGCACCCACCCAGGGCAACATTTTAGGCTGTTTAGTCTCATTCAACTTTACAGCTATAGTATCTTTACCAAAGGGGGAGAAATAATTACTAGTCACTATCTTAACCTTTCCCATCCATTCCACCTCCCTTTCCTCCTTTCTCTCAGTTCCTGCTTTCCACTGTTCTCTTGCCACCTTCACCCTGTGTCCCTGTCCTGCCTACCCCTCCCTCTCACATCACCCCTCTTGGCTTACAGGTTCCTCTCCCTCTCTTTCCACCTTCCCAGGAACTTGGAACAGAGACCTTGGGATACTGCACGGACTTCCAGGCGGTGCCAGGCTGTGGAATTGGGTGCAAAGTCAGCAACGTGGAAGGCATCCTGGCCCACAGTGAGCGCCCTTTGAGTGCACCTGCCAGTCACCTGAATGAGGCTGGCAACCTTCCCGCAGAAAAAGGTATTACTGGCCTCTGTCTCTGCAGCTGGTTCAAAGTAGAGGTGGGCCAAACCACAGAGAGCACCACGTCCAGCAGTGATGGCCTCTGCTGTGCGGCAGACGGTTCATGGCTAAGGCAGCCAAGCCTGCCTCCCCACCCCCAGGAAAGTTTCTCGCATGTTCTTGGGTGCATGTAAATTTTGTTGCTTATGGCTGCCTTGAATTTGTAGAGCATTGTTTAGCTATGGATACTGTCTAACGACAAAACGGACGTTGCCTTAGTTTAATACGTTATGCCATGTCACACCCATATAGCATGTACTGTTAATTGACACGAACCCTCATCTTAATCTCATACCACATCCTACACATTAATTTTCCTTTTTTTTTCTTGTCCTAAAAGGATGCTGGTCAACAAGGGAAGGTTTACAGTTTTTCAGATTGGTTAAAAGGAATTTCTGCGTTTAAAAGGATTGCCGATGGTTTTAGTTAACAGCGAAATTGGACCCTTTAGAAAATAACCACAGCCTCTTTGAATAGAATGCAGCCCCACAGACCTCTCCTGTGCTGATTGGAACACCGTGAATGGCTGAGGCGCAACGGTAACACTTTCCAGTGATGTCAGTGACGCTATGACAGACACGATGAAAGGACAGACAGCCCATCCCTGGTGGCTATCACGGTAATCTTCTGCTTCTGCCTTCCTTCTGCTCTCTCAGAAATGCAGTTCTTCTGCAGATATC